CTTCTGAGATGCTTTGCCTTTCTCTATTTTATTTATTGCCACTTGGGGAAATTACCATATGGCTGAAAATGTGTTCTTTTTGGAAAAAAAGGATATTATGTGTTATTTTCAAGGACTGTTGCTGAGTCTGATTCTTGCTTTTTGATGTATCTGAACATTAGGTGACAGTGATTCAGTCATTATGGTTATATCTGTTCCTGGCGTGGTAATATTAGCACTCCAAAACTATGCTCCATAGCATTCTGTCAGTGTATTTATAACAGACTGAAGAAACTCATCAGTGCCATCATCTCGCTGTGTGAACTCCTCAGCATTCCAGCTTCCAGCTCACAGAGGTCTACTTGTTATGCTATCACCTTTGTAATGCCTTGGCCAGGAAGTCCTCATTATTCTCTTTTTGTGCCCATAGATTTCTGTGAAGCATCTCTGTTGGACCGTGTTGGGGTCTCTGTGACTGGCCAGGAAATCTTAGGTAAATTAGACATGACCAGGTGTGGTGGCTCATGCCTGTAATCCCAGCAACTTGGGAGGCTGAATTGGGCGGATCACTTGAGTGCAGGAGTTTGAGACCAGCCTGGAAAAATGGTGAACCCTGTCTCTACCAAAAATACAAAAAAAAAATTAGCTGGGCACAGTGGCGCATGCCTGTAATCCTAGCTACTTGGGAGGCTGAGGCAGGAGGATCCCTTGAGCCCAGGAGGTTGAGGCTGCAGTGGGCCGAGATCGTGCCATTGCATTCCAGCCTGGGTGACAGGAGTCAGTGAAACTCTGTCTCAAAAAAAAAAAAAAAAAAAAAAAATTAGAGGCTTTAATTTATCACTGTGTGGCATAGGGAAAAGCATGCAGGCTTTAGAGTTAGACACACCTGGGTCTGGTCCGGCATCCATTCCTTATTACAGTGGTTCTTCAACTTGGCCTCATATTGGACTTAGCTAAGGAGATTTATGAGCAATATTTATGCTGGGTCCCACTTTAGAGATTGTGACTTAATTGGCCTGGGGTCACCTAGGCATGTGGACTTTTAAAAACTTCCCCAGGTGATTCTACTAGTTTGAGACCATCCAAATATGTGATTGTGAGTTTACTTAATGGTTCTAAGCCTGGAGTTTCCTCATATATAAAATGGGTATAATAATATCTCTCTTACAGCAGCACTGTGAAGATCATAGTTAATGTGAGATGCCTAAAAGGGATGATTTCAGGTGAGCTGGAAGGTCTCCTATGTGTCAAACCCAGTGTACTTTGCCATACTGCCTCTTCCACCACCACCATCGGGCCCCCTAACAACTTCCCCAGTTATTCAGGCTCATCACCACCCCCTTGAGGGAATATCTTTTGAATTCATGAAAGGACATCTGCTGGCTGTTGACCTCCTCATCTCCACCTATGGATCCAGCATGGTTCACACACCTGGCAAGCGATATTTTAGAAAGAAAGAAAACTTACAGTCCTTGCACTAGTACCAGGATCGGCTCATTGATGTGCTAGACACTGTACCCTGGTCACTGTCTGCGTCTTCCCAGTGTGGCTGGCCTTTTTTCCCACATCTTGAGTGATAATCTTGCTCACCATCCTCTCCAACACATCAGCCGATTCCACCGTTATTTAGTCTGTCTAGAGTTCACGTTCCTATTTGCAACATCATTGTGTTTTAACCTTTCAGCATGCTCCTGTCATGTAGCTTACTCTTAGCCCTCAGTTTGAAGTGTGCCATCCTTACGGTGAAGTGTCTGGCACGTACTTTTGGGCGTTAGGGTCTACCAAATCATTATGCACTTGCCTCATGTCCCCTGCTCAGCAAAATGTTTCAGGAAATTAGGGACTCTCCATCTCCCCATCACGTAGTGTATATGTGGGTGCTCAGGATGTATTGAATGAATGAAAGAAAGATCCCTTATATACTTACAGTGTGTCCCTTCAATTAACTGATTACATCAACAAGCTGAAGTCTGAAGTCGTGTGTTCCCAGCTGGATTTTGAGTTTTCTAACTGTAGGTGTTGGGTTCTTATTTCTTTACGTTCCTCATGGCATCTGGAACAATACTTGGCCAACACTAAGTGCTCAGTGAGCACTCTTGTCCTATTAAGGAGTAGAGATGTAGGCAAAAGAGCCAAAGGAATGACCCCAAACTGCATTTATTATAGTGGCCTCAGCAGAGATGGGCAAGGGCTAGACTTTGCTAATTAGGGTGGTGGTATCTTTGGGGAATATGCATACCCTAACAAGATCTATTGGGTCTGAGAAGAACATTTTAGAACTTGTATATCTTTATTTTTTAAATTTAAAAGAGTGGTATAATGGTCTTTGGAGACTCAGAATCAGGAAGGTTGGGAAGGAGTTGAGGGATAAAAAACTACAGATTGGGTCCAGTGTACATTACTTGGGTGACAGGTGCACTAAATCTCAGACTTCATCACTATACGGTGTATCCATATAACCCAAAGCCACTTATATCCCAAAAGCTATTGAAATAGGAAAACTTTATAAAGAAAAATAATTAGGCTTTATTGAGTTCTATATTGATGGCTGTGGACCCTTAATCTGATCCATATGGAACATGTGAGAGGGGCACTGTCACCCTCACTGGCTTATTTTCATTCAATATGTTAAAAATAATCTTGGCCAGTGTGGTGGCTCACACCTGTAATCCCAGCACTTTGGGAAGCTGAGGAGGGCAGATAACCTGAGGTCAGGAGTTTGAGACCAGCCTGACCAACATGGTAAAACCCCATCTCTACTAAAAATACAAAAATTAGCCACGTGTGGTGGCAGGTGTCTGTAAATCCACCTACTCAGGAGGCTGAGGCAGGAGAACTGCTTGAACCCCGGAGGCAGAGTTTGCAGTGAGTGGAGATGGCACCATTGTGCTCCAGCCTGGGCAACAGAATGAGCCTCCGTCTAAAAAAAAAAAAAAAAAACGAGCTGTTTGCATATACCTGCAGATTTATGAATTTTATTATGTAGTTTATCTGGTTTACTACTTACAATGTAGATAAGTCACTTAAAACATTCTTGCAGAGAAACAAGAATTGAAATGACTACTGTTGATGTAAACACAAGAGAACAGTTAGAAACTGGCAGAAGTGACCCTTCTCCCAGGCTGTTACGTGATGTTGGTTAGCCAGATGACAAGAGAAATACAATGGTGGTCTAACAGTAAGAAGGACAATGGCAATTTGACAACGACATGTCATAAATTTTTGAAATAGTCAAGTAGACTCTAAGAAATGTGCATTTATATTCATTGTCACCGTTGTATTAACCAAATCCTATATGGACACTATGTCTTGAAGAATTAACCCAATGGTGTTTGAAGGATTAATTAATGACTTTTGAAGATTTTAAAGTTAATTTTACCTCATCTTTGGAAATTTCTGTTTTTGTATTTGTTAAAAATATTCCTATTAGTCTATTAGTATATCTCCATAGAAATTAAACATCTATGTATTGGGTGTGTATGCTGAAAAGTCTTTTACTAGTAGGAGTGCATGTCCACCGTGTCAGAATGCCATATGAATGAGAGTGTGGTTTGTTCTTGATGGGCTTTTAGCGTCATGTCATACTGCTCTCATGTAACTGGCTGACCAGAAAGCCCTTTCAGGATTGTGTGTGATTAGTTACCATGGTAATGGCACAGCTGGGAGGGGAATGGATCATTAAAAATCCATCATCACTATTGAGTTAGGAATTAACTCAGATCACACATTCTTCTGAGGTTAGGTCATCTTTTGCTTATAGAAAAAGGCAACCCTTAACATTTAACAGATTAAAAAAATATGTATCTTAAACATGACATTAGCTTATGAGGTTGTTCATATATTTGGAAGTGAAAGGCAACAAAACCTAGAAATTTACTCTTTGTCAAGCATTTTGTTATTTATCTGAATCCTACAACAACCCTATAAGGTAGGGATCAACCCCATTGTATGATAAGGAAAGATAAAATCAGAGACCTTAAGTGACTTGTCCAACCTCACGTATTTAGTGAGCATAGAATCAGGGTGCAAAATTAGATACTTGGCATTATTTTGCTGTAGTTTCTAAAGGCAAAGAATACATAGGCATTTTATCAAGTCACCTAATCCAGTAAGTCCTCACTTAACATCATTGATAGGTTCTTGGAAATTGTGACTTTAAGCAAAACGACAGATAATGAAAGCAATTTTTACCATAGGCTAATTGATGTAAACAGGGGTTAAGTTCCTATGGCATATTCTTGCTCATAAAAACATCACCAAACTTCTAAATGAAGACCAAAACACTTCTAATATTAAACACTGAATACATGTGAGCTATACATACATTTAAGAAAGACAAATAAAAGCAAGTAAGATAATTATTAGCCCAGTTATTCCAGTTCAGGGTTGCAGGTGCTGGAACCTATCTAGGCAGCTCAGGGCACCAGGCGGGAACCATCCCTGACTCGGACTCCATCCCGTCGCAGGGTGCAGTCACTCATACGCTGGGAACATGTAGACATGCCGATTAACCTAACAGGACCATCTTTGGAATGTGGGAGGAAACCAGAGTACCCAGACAAAACCTGTGCAGACCTGGGGGGAATGTGCAAACTCCACACAGTGACCCTGGCCCAGAATTGATTTTTTTTCTTATCAACTGTAAAACAAAAGGATGTTGAATGAAATGATGCTACTTGAGGATCTGCTGTAATGTGAAGGTACTCAGAATTTCCAGACCTGAAAGGCTGTGTAACAGTGGACTCTATACCCTGAGAGTGAAAGCAAAATGTTCACTCTGAGGGCCGGGGCTGGCATCTTTCCTTCATCTATCTCTGTTTGATGACGAAAAGCAAGCCAATTTTGGTCGTGCTTATTGACATTGTATCATCTTATGTCATTTCTCAAGTGAAAGTTTGGCGTTTTTGTATGAGCAAGAGGTCTCTTGGTGGAGCTTTGCCAACTGTTTTTGTCAAGGTGTTCTGCAGAGTATCAGATATTGACCTAAAATACAATAAATGGGCATCTCTCTCTGTTAACAGGACCATTGCCAACTATTTGGTGTGGAGAATGGTTTATTCCAGAATTCCAAACCTTAGCAGACGCTTTCAGTATAGATGGCTGGAATTCTCAAGGGTAAGTTTAAGAAGGTTGCAGTGTTACATCACTGGATAACTTTATGCTGGAATGGTTCATATATTAACTGATCCAATAAAAACCACCTTTACGGATTAGACAGAGGGAGTTTGTAGCCCAAACTCTATTGTTTTGTGTGTGTGTGTGTGTGTGTGTGTGTGTGCGCGCGCCTTATTTATTTTTATTTAGGTATAAATTACATATGGCAAGGAACACTCAAGCTCTACTTTGATGGTTTGTATAAAGATATTTAGGGAAATACTTGAGGCCACACATTGTTTTCAAACTTCTCCGTCTTATCAGTGTATTCCCATTTCCCCCAGAGTTTTCAACTGGGTCACTGTAATTATAATTTTAATATTTCTTTGTGATATATTTGTAACTATCTTTTATTTTCAGTATTCTGAATATTTAAAATGTGCATGATAGTGGTATTAGATGGCAGAGTTTCATTTTCAATTTGGAAATAATTTTGTCTTAAACTTTACCTGTACCTTCCATCTTTGCATCTATCCTCTGCTAGGTCCAAGAGGCTCCAATTTAGTTTTCTCTGAGACCTCGCTGAACTGAGATGGTTTTCCTCTCCCTGCTCTTTTTCTCTCCCTGGCTCTTTATTTGTTTTTATTAGAGATGGGGTCTCGACATGTTGCCCAGGTGTGTATCGAACTCCAGAGCTCATGTGATCCTCCCACCTCAGCCTCCCAAAGTGCTGGGATGAAAGGCATGAGCCACTCTTTAATCTTTGCTTCTCTCCCACCCTTGCTTGCCTCCCAGTTTATACCCATGTTCTCATCTTTGTTTTTGAGGCTTATGTCTGACTAATTCTCCTACCACTAGAGGCCGTAAGGGTTTTGTATCTTTAAAACAGTTTTTGTTTTTCTATCAATTTAAAGTTAAGTAAATGGTGAATCTTATAAGCAATGATTTCATTCAAGAGAAATTCTAGTTATTAGAGGAACTAGTAAGTATAGAAATTCTTAGTGGGCCATTTCTCTGTAGTGCAGTTATTTTGGATATGCTTTGACCCTATAAAGTCACTAGCATATAAATTTACTTTAGGGCTGGATGCAGTGGCTCATGTCTGTAATCCCAGCACTTTGGGAGGCCCAGGCGGGCAAACTGTTTGAGGTCAGGAGTTCAAGACCAGCCTGGCCAACATGGTGAAAACCCATCTCTATGAAAAATACATCAATTAGTCGGGCATGGTGGCACACGCCTGTAGTCCCAGCTACTCGGGAGGCTGAGGCAGGAGAATTGCTTGAATCCAGGAGTCAGAAGCTGCAGTGAGCCGAGATGACACCACTGCACTCTGGCCTAGGCAACAGAAGGAGACTCTGTCTCAAAAAAAAAAAAAGTATTTTTACAGAGAACAGCATAAAACAAATATATATATATATATATATATATATATATATATATGTATGTATGTATGTATGTATATTTAGGTCATAACAATGGATTAAGATACAAAACAAGTAGAGTGTGTGTGTGTGTATTTTTAACTCCCATGAATCACATAAAAGATGATGCCCAGCTGCTTTCCACCCCTACTGTGAAGACAATGAGAGAGAGGTGTAAGAAGCAGTGTCTGAACATTTAAGGTTAGGTATGAGGGGACGTTTCTTGAGCACGAAGTGCTAAATATAATATTGAATTGCTGAAGAAGGTTGTAGGATCTCTTTCTCTACAGATTTTAAAAATAGATTCATCCCTTACCTCTGAGAGAGGTTACCAGAAATCAGAGGAAGAATAGATGAAATTAAGCCTTAATCCCATTCCTCAAAACAACCTGGCTCTAACATTGTGTAAAGGACACTTCTGGCCACCATTCTCAGGGCCTCCCTTCCTCCCTGCCTGCACCCCAACTTCCAAGGGCAACTTTATATTTATTTCTCTGCTTTTATCCCCAAGAATAAACCTCTGAGCCTTCCAGGGCCTGCTTGGGAACCTTCTTACCTGTTTGTAAATGTTTTCTTGTAATGGTATAATTGCAACAGATGGGCAAAGCATTTCCATCTGTATTTTACTTGTTTACCAGTGTATTTTTTGCTGTGACACAATGTAAATATGCTCCCTGTGTTCATGGTGGGTCATGTTCTCCTGCTCTGCCTTGTTGAGTGTGCTACTCAGAGCAAGGAAACCCTCATTGGGCAGGAACTTTGAATACTCATTGATTCTAGACCTTCTTAGTGGAACTTCAGTTCTCAGTAGTTATTAACTACTATCTGGACACTTGAATAACATCCTCTCATGTCCCTGCTGACTGCAGAAAAGTGATACCATTGTCCAGATTCTTTGTTTAATGGGTAAAATTGGGAAGAAAGGAGAAATGTATTATTTTAACTGTTAAAACATTTTTTTCTTTCTTTCTTCTTTTTTTTTTTTTTTTTTTTTTTGAGACAGTCCGACTCCATTGTCTAGGCTGGAGTGCAATGGCCTGTTCTTGGCTCATTGCAACCTCTGCCTCCTGGGTTCACGCAGTGCTCCCACCTCGGCCTCCCAAGTAGCTGGGATTACAGACATGTGCCACTATGCCTAATTGTTGTATTTTTAGTAGACATGTGGTTTCACCATGTTGGCCAGACTGGTCTCCAACTCCTGACCTCAGGTGATCTGCCCATCTGGGCTTCTCAAAGTGCTGGGATTACAGACATGAGCCACTGCGCCTGGCCTAAAGCATTTTCATTTAGTTTTCAATATGATGGGTACAAGCATATTTTTTTCTTCTTCTTCAGTTATTTTATCTTTGTCTCTACTATCTGACACATATATATGGGTTAGGGTATGCAATGTTTTGTAGACTGTTTTCTTCAGGCTGTTTGAATTTTTTTCAGCCATGGGTTTTATCCAAATGAAGTTTAATCTGGATCAATTATCTCCCACAGGTAATCCAGGGGACCACAACTTTGCTGCCTCAATGGGACAAATGTGTTAACTTTATTGAAAGCGCCCTCCCTTATGTTGTTGGAAAGATGTTTGTAGATGTGCACTTCCAGAAAGATAAGAAGGAGATGGTAAGTGGGGCTCCCCAGCTAGTAAAAAATAATGCAATTTAGTCAGATCTGACAAGGTATATTCAGCAGGCTAATGTCAGCCTTCCAAGTGGTAGGGGCTTGTGGATAGTCTTCAGATTCCTTCAACTTCTCAGTGAAATAGGAAGAAAAGTCATCAAATGAGAGTGAGGATGAGTGAGCAAGTATTGAAGATTAGAGGAGAGAGAAGGTATGTAGTTGTCCAGGGGAGTGGGAGAGTGAATGAATTGAGAATATGGTGTAGCTGCTTGAAGGCAGGCATGTCCAGGTGTAGGTGGTTTCAGGTCATGAGTTTAAAGAGAGACTCATCACTGTGGCAATGTGTTCTTCCCCATCTGTTTTAACTGAATTGGAAGGGTTTATTTTTTTCTTTTAGCTTTATTGGGGTGCATTTGACTAACAACAATTGTATATATTCAAAAAGTATACGGCCGGGCACAGTGGCTCATGCCTGTAATCCTAGCACTTTGGGAGGCCAAGGTGGGCAGATCACTTGAGGTCAGGAGGTTCAAGGCCAGCCTGGCCAACATGGTAAAACCTCATCTCTACTAAAAAAAATACAAAAATTAGCCTGGCATGGTGGCGGGTGCCTGTAATCCCATCCACTTGGGAGGCTGAGGCAGGAGAATTGCTTGAACCTGGGAGGGTGGAGGTTGTAGTGAGCCGAGATCATGCCACTGTACTCCAGCTTGGGCGACAGAGTGAGACTCCATTTCAAAACAAACACAAAGCATACAACACGATGATTTGACATACATTGTGAAATGATTGCCACAATCAAATGAACACATCTGTCGCCACACTTATTTACCACTGTTTGTGTGTGTGAGGGTGTAAGGACTCTTAAGATTTGCTCTTAGCAAGTTCAAGTATATAATACATTATTAGTAACTATAGTCACCATGCCATATTTTAGATTCCCAGAACTTATTCGTCTTAGAACTAGAGGTTTGTACCCTTTGATCAACATCTCCCTATTTCCCTGCCCCTAGCCCGTGGCAACTTCTGCTTCTATATTTTAACGTTTATGTAAAGATTCTACATATATTGTCTTTCTGTGTCTGGCTTATTTCACTTAGCATAATGTCCTCCAGCTTTATCTGTGTTGTTGCAAAAGGCAGGATTTTCTTCGTATAAGGCTGAATATTAATCCATTGTGTGTCACACACACACATAGTTACACACATACCACATTTTTCTTATCTATTCATCCATTGAAGGATATTTAGGTTTATTCCTTAACTTGGCTATTATGAATAATGCTGCAATAAACATGAGAGTGCAGACCTTTCTTCCATATATTGATTTCACTTACTTTGGATATATACCCAGTAGTGGGATGGCTGGATTTGAATGGTAGTCCTATTTTTAATTTTTTGAAGATTTTCCATGCCATTTTCCATAATGGCTGTACCAGTTTACATTCTTACCAACAGCATAAGAGCATTCCCTTTTTATTCCAGGAATACCTTGCCGACGCCTACCTCTTAAATTTTTGATCACAGCCATCCTAAGAAGTAGTGAAGTGATATTTCATTATGGTTTGATTTGCATTTCCCTGATGATTAGTGATGAAAACCTTTTCATATACCTGCTGTTTATATGTCTTCTTTAAAAAAATGTCCAGTCAGGTCTTTTGCCTATTTTTTTTTTAAATCAGGTTATTTGTTTTTTTCACTGCTGAGAAAGGTGTATTTTGAATTAGAAATTTGGATTTGGCCAGGTTTTTTTGTCTGCATCTCTTTTTTGATGAATTATATTTTACAAATGTCATGAAATAAAAGATCCAGGTATGATTAATAACAATCCATGTAGTCAATCAGATAAAAATATATGAGCAGCTTGGATGCAGGTGGTGAATAATCACTGAATTTAAGGTCAAAGGCATTGTTATGTCATGATTGTTCAAATGATTGGTATCATGTGGTGATACACAATAATACCAAATGGTTGGTATTATGTATCAGTACATAGTCATTATTGATACATAATATACATGATTATGTATTATGCACTCAAGTTTGCTTTGTAATACCATATCTAAGTACATTTGTGGTAGGCCAGATCTCACTAATGCAGGGCTCCATCACAACGGTCCCAGCACTGACTGAGTAGCTAGGTTAAACATTAAAAGCTGATTGACCAGTGCTCTTATCCAAAGGCTGGAATATAACAAAGAGCCCACCAAGAGTTTTGCGTAGGCTTTTCCTGGGCCTTGGAGCATGACAAGATAACGAATGAATTCTTAACAGGACCCTTTTAGGATTAAACAGGTTTTATTGGGGATCTGAAGAAACTCCCCAGGCCTCCACAAACAAGTTTATTGGGGTCTAAGGGAACTCCCCAAACCTTTATGATTTAGCAGGAGACAGATAAGGGTACTCACCTCAGCACCTAGACCCATTTATTTAGATAAACTTACTGAGGCTCCAGAAGAAGGTCTTCAGGACTCAGACCTCGTTATAGATTAAAAGAAGTTAATCATTTACGTCTTTAGATTAATGCCCACTTACACGTAGACATATAGCTTTGAAGGAATATAAGCTCTGGAAAACTTTGTAATTTTGAATTGTTCTGGCGATAATTTCCAGGCTTTCTCCCTGTAACCAGTTGCAGAAAATAAAACTCTCTTCCTCCCCAGTTCATCTGCATCTCGTTATTGAGCCACAAGAAATAGCAGCCTGACCCTCAGTTTGGTCTGGGAACCTGTTTTTACAGTCTTTGAGACTTTATGTTTGAACCTCGCAGCTCCCTTGCAAACAATTTCACTGAAGAGTTAATGTCTTGCTTCAAAATACTCAGTATTCTCATTGTGTGTTTTCTTTTGCTCCTTGGTCAGAGTAAATAGAATGAGATCTTATCAGATAATCACAGTGGTAATATAAGCTCTGGGAAGGTTATAAAAACAATTAAAGGATAATGGAAGATTTAAAAAAATTTACAGCAGGAGGTTTTTTGGCAGTAGAAGAATTTTAACTAATATGAAAAGTATGCAGATTAAACTTGTTTTTCTCAGTTTTGGTGTAAAAGTCCCTTTTCCTTGTGTCAGGGTGTGACATTCTAAAAGTTGATTTTGGGAATCTCCCCCCTTATTTTGATGTATATGGGGGTAGTGTAGTAGTTACACAGATACTCATCTCTTTACTGTAAAATTATTTGCCTCCCTTGTGCTGAAGCTGTTTGCCTCAGGGAATACTTAAGTTGGAAACTTATAAGAGAAATAGCTGGCCTTTTATAGCCTTTTTTTTTTTTACAGGGCTCGTATCCAAGAACCACCTGGAACCACTGATTTACTTGAAAAACATTCTGTATAATTAGCTACAGTCTACAGAAAAAGAAAAACAGGAAGATCCCCAAAGGGGCAAATTCCAGAGACTCTAACTCAGATGAAAGGCTGGCTGCCATTGTTTATTTACCAAAAAAGTTAGTTAAGTGAATGAATATAGTCAGAAGGTTAAACTTCAGGTACTTCTCAAATTTACATGGGTAAATGAATCACATGAGCATCTTCTTGTTAAAAGGCAGATTCTCATTGCATTTTAACAAGGGTTTTGTTTTGTTTTGTTTTGTTGTTTTGTGTTTGGGGCAGGATCCAAGAATTTGCCTAACAAGGTTCCAGGTGCGACTACTGCTGCTGGTCCACGACCACACTTTGGGCAGCAAGGTCTTCTCATGATTCATTTGTCTGTAAACAGTTACCACCAAAAAACAAGCCCTGGTGACTCACAAGAGCAGGCCAGGCCAGTTGACACGAATGGCAATACTTTATTTACCAAAAGTGGTTGCATTAGTGCGAGTAACTGCTTTAAGTTTTAGATAATTGAAAATTTCTGTGATTCAGATTGGTTTAAATGGACTATGAAAAGCCCTGCATTACCACCTCCAGGCTTGGTTCCCCACCCACCAACTTTTTAGTTACCTTTTGAAAACGGATACCTAGGTTTTACTAAGAGACTCCCACCCCACTTCTCCTCAGTATCTCTGTTTCTAGAACCTCTGGATGACAGAGTTGGCCCAACTGCCTGTGGTTGGCACACTCTGTTTTAGAGAGAGAGTAGGAGATAGTAGATCACATTGAGGTTTCCTACCTATCAGAGTTCTCTTCTTTTTCACTGGCGAAAACACATACTTCCACGTTAGTGTTTCGTTAAGACTTCCCACATGCAAGTGTGCATTTGGACACACCAAAACACCAACACTCTCATACTCATTCACACACATAGCCATGGGAATTTAGCAAATTTAATTAGAAATGAAGAATAGCATGTAGAAAAGGAGAATCCTTCAACAGAAAGCCACCCAAAGAGGTGGTATAGTACAATCCCTTGCCTTCCAGCTAGTGGAACAGAGCCTTCACTCATGTGGGATTGGCTGCAAGTGTTGCTTTGACTTTGCAGTTCAAAGTAGCACTATCCAATTGAACTAGAGTATGAGCCATATATATATGTAATTTTATATACATATCTACATATGTAATTTTATATATACATATAAGTAATTTTAAATTTTCCAGTAGCCACAATAAAATGAAAGGACACAGGTGAAATTAATTATAATGTAGTTTAATCCAATTTATCTAAAATATTGTCATTTCAACACATAATTAATATAAATTTACTAATATGAGGCCACGTATGGTGGCTCACACCTGTAATCTCAGCACTTTGGGAGGCTGAGGTGGGAGGATCCCTTGAGGCCAGGAGTTGGAGACCAACCTAGGCCACAGAGTGATAGCCCGTCTCTACAAAAAGATAATTTAAAAAGCCAGGCAAGATGACACGTGCCTGTAGTGTCAGCTACCCAGGAGGCTGAGGTGGGAGGATCACTTGAGCCTGGGAGGTTGAGGCTGCAGTGAGCCAAAATTATGCCACTGCTTTCCAGCCTGGGTGATAGAGTGAGACCCTCCCTCAAAAAAATAAAGTAAAATTACTAATATAATAGTTTATATGTCTTATTTTATCCTGTCTTTGAAACTCCATGTG